AATGAACAAAAGCACAAAACCTTTTATAATTGTTTGCATTAAAACCATGCTTATCCTAACTTCATCACATGAAGCACTCAGAGTATTTATAGACATACTACAAGAATTGATTTTTATTGATATGGAAAGTCAATGTTTTGGTGGAAAATGTTTTGATCAGCCAAAAAAAGAACATGAAGTTTGTGAATTTATTTGATTTTTTTATAAATAATTGATTTACATTTTTAGTTTTGGATGGATTTTATAAAGTGTGATGAAAATTCTGAAGAATGGAAGAAAATTGTAGGAGATTTAATTTATAAGCGTGTTACAAAAGTAATAGTAATATTGTTAATGCTAATTAGGTAATTTGATATGTCAGATATCAAATTTTGCAAGTCTCATTAAAGTTTTTAAGTTGTTAGTCAAGCAAGATGAGGCAGATGCTGTTATTCAAATAATAATGAATGTCATTGAAGAAAATATTGCTTCACCTACGTTTAATCAAAAGGTGTCATTGCCATATATAATTATGCATGTTTCAGAACTTAATTTAAAGGATCTAGAAAGTCTTGCAACACAGACTTCAAAATGGGCCAAAACTCTTTTTAGTCGCTGTCTTGATGAAAAATATCCTAATTCTGATTGTTATATGAGCATTGAATCTGTGCTGGAATATGAAATGTGGCCAATGATCCTTAAATCATACAGTGGTGTGTTGTTAACCATAACAGTACATGTCTTTATATGCATCTATTTCAAGGTTCTAATGGTAAAGGCTTTTCAGAACATTCAAATGCTTTATTTCACAAGTTACTTGTTGTTATAAAAAATTCCCAAGATTGCATGACTTCAGGAAATATTACTGTCTGTACCTTTAAAAAGATAGAAAGGAGTTGGTGTGGCCACCTGCAGCCAATACTGGCTTTATTAAAGATTGATGTTAATGAATTTAAAGGAGCTATGAATTTATCAAATAATCGAATAAATTTGTTTCAGTTTCATGAAGCTCTTCTTCTTTATTTTATTAATTATTTAGATAAAGAGTTGAACAAAGAATTTGAAGGTAGTTTATTTACTGTCCTTATTTGATTTGTCTTTATTATTGTGCAGTCTGTAAGATATCACCACTTGCTATTGATGACATGCATATTAATGAGTTATGTACCGAAGATGGTCAGGATTCCTGGAAATATCCCTCTTTGGAAGCTGCTGATCCTGTGAAACTGTTGTTAATACCTTGTGTTATAATGACATCTGAAGAGTTTAAGAATGATATTTTTCATCAGCAGTGCAAAGATCAAGTCAAGAGGCTATGCCATTCAGATACTAACTGGTCTCAAATTGCTGATGCTGTGGAAGCTGCTTTTGAATCCTGCACAAATATTTTAGAAAAATTGAGGAATCAAACAATCACTCTTCATGAAGTTGATACGTTATTTCGTAGTGTTTCTAGTGCTGGTGTCATTTCCCTTACTTTAAGTCATCTAGAAAGTGCTCTTTTGTTTTCAAAAAAGTCTATGAATTTTTTGAAAAATGCTCAGTTTTTCTCAATTCAAAAGCCATGCAGTCTTTCTAGTATTTTTATGAAGTCTATGAAAGCTACACCTTTGTCCCCATGGATCAATGAAGTTGCCATAAATGCTTTTTTATGGAGAGGTTTGTCTTCACTACAAGCAGAAGCAAATGATTTTGCAGATATATTAAATGACTTTGATGTTGAACCTGATGAATTCATAGCATTCTCTAAAATGGTTAGCATACTTTAACTGCATTTTTTATTATTTATTAATTGTAGAATCTTCACACCACTGAACTTATATCAGTTGCAAGAGAAAAAAAGGAAATTTTAGAGTTTATGAAAAAATCTAAAGAACAACCAAAAGACGTGAAAGATTCAATACGAATGCTTGCTAAAAACAAAGAGCTACGAGAATGGATTTTAGCTAAAAGTGAAGGTAGATCTAGATCTATATGATTTGTCCTTATTTTATTAGCATTTTGAAAGCCCATTTAAGACAATAGTTTATGAAGAATATTGTAGATCTAAATGCTAAATTGTGAATATAATGCCACTACAGTGACAATATATTCTTTACCTAGATTTGAATGCAATGGAAACATTTATTGGAGTAGTATTAGACACATTGGCTGAAGGAGGAGATGAGATACAGGATAAATTAACCAATTTGTCTGAGTTATGTAGCAAATTTTCACCTTTGATTTATGACTTTTATAAAACTAAGTCTAAAACAAAAAGTGTGAAGAAGGTTTTTGACAGTACTTATAAGAGGCTGTCTGATTTAACTAATCCTACTTCTTTGGTTGTAAGTTATTATTTATAAATCTAAAATTTCATCTTCTTACCGCATAGGAAATTTGCAACAATGATTTTGAATGGTACAAGAGGATTGGAGAACTGCAGGGATCAATAGAACAAGGAGCTGTGACACAAATGAAAGAAATCAATCAGCATGGATTTTATAGTATTCAATCTTCAGAAGACTCTCACAAATGCATAGTCATATTAAGCATAGTTCAGGATAAGGACCATATTAAAGTCTTATCAATTGATGATCTGAATGAACTTGAGAGTAAACTTGTTCTTATTACTAGGAAGCACTCATCATGGGCTGAAGAAAAAGAGCTATTTCAAGAGGTGAGTTAATGAAGTGAAATTAACTAGTTAGGTGATATGATTTTTTGCCAATAGATGCTAAAAAGAATAGTTCTTATTTCTGAATCAGTTCAAAAGTTAAAAGATTTTGGTCACTTAGAGTACCTTAATTGGGAAAGAAAGTATCATTGCTCTGAATATATACGAGATTTAGGAAACCTGGACCAAAAAATTTCTAATTTGAAGAGTATGCTAGTTGGTTGGCTTTATAATGTATGGAACTGTCGCTATGAATTTCCTGAATTGAATTATTTTACTACAGAGCAGCTCATCGTTCTTAGAAAAGAGCTGACATCAATAAAAAATGATCCTGATCCATCAAAGGAAGTGAATCCTCAAGTTTTTTACCTTCTTCATAGTGTAATTGGGAAACCAGATGATTCTGCCATGCTTTTGAAGAAAGCACTGAATTGTGATAGTATTCAAGAAGAGGAGGAGGAAGATATTGCATCTTCATCAATTCCAGATGACCAACCTGTTGGGTCTCTTCTTTCAGCAGATAACAAAATAAGCTTGGATGCCTCTAGCACTGAGAATATTTCTATATTACAAGAAGCTATTAATAATTTAAATGAAAAACAGAGGAAAATATATGACACATTAATTGGTGATGCTTATGAGGATTACAAATGTATTGAAGCTGCAATTATGCATGATAACATATACAATGCAATGGAATGGTGTGATGATCTAAAAGAAGAAGATGAGCTGGAACTTCAGAAAAAATATTTACCTATACCAAGCACACTTAATTGTACTTCATCTTTTTCTCAAAGCCATTCATTGCCTATTTCTGAGCAAAACCCAATTAACAATTCTAATACTCCTAATGATTTTGATGCTACTCCTATTGTATCTTTGTTTGTAAGCAGTGAAATTCATTCTGAATTGTAAGTAATGTTTATTTTATAAAAAAATATATTGTTACAATCACTTCAGGAATACACTAATAGATGACAAAAAGATGATGTCACTTATTGATCTTGGAGATTTTCTTAGGACTATTACAAAACTCAGAGGTAAATAGTGATAATCATTAATAGTGATAATCATTAAATTTATTATGATTTGGGATGAAAGTACGAAAGCAGATCACAAGAAGTTTTTCTGAGCTTATTCTTGAAAAGGGTCATCCAAATCTCATTGTAACTTCAGCAGGTTAGAATTGTAGTGACAAAAGATAATTATACAGTAATATTTTTTAAGATGAAATATTCAATTGCGTTATTCAAATTTATGCTGAAGATGAAGATGCTCCATTGCCATGCTATGAAGAAATACTTTTATGTTCTTTAAATACAACTCTGGAACAAGTAATGAAATTGTATACTATTGATGCATTTATATTAATGGTAGGTAATAGTGTTTTGGATGAGAGCTTTGTTTGATAAAAATCCAGGAAAAATTTATTGTTTAGTTCATGCTGAAAAACTTAGCTATTTGGTAGCTGATAAAGCCATTGATTTGCTTTCATATCTTTCACAAGGAATAAATGGTGTATAATTTGTATAAACATCAAAATGTAATTTTTTGCAGATTATAGATTAGTTATTGTGTGCAGTAACGAATCTGAAGGAAAATCCCATGTTTTAGCACGTCTTAATACTTATCACCGTGATTGGAAAAAGAATGATGATACAGATGCCCTGAAAAGATATTTGAAAAAGCATTTAATACCTAAGACTGATGACAGAAATGTTAATGCTTCCATTATTGATGAAGAAAAGTATTGTTGCTGTGTTTATTGTTAATCATTATACATTTATAGATCTATTGTTCGCATCATTTATTCAAAGCAAGCTGCTGCTGGCAAATCGCTTTATATTCGTAGAATGAAAGATAAACTGAATGCAATATTGAAAGATAAAAACTTAATGATGAGCAAGAAAAAGCCAAAGGTGATGTTATCTATTCCTCTACATGGGCCTGATGTTACTCCTGATGAAGTATTGAAAATGCTTTTGGCTGAAAAAAATGTTGTAAAATCTTGCATTATTCACATTGATATACCGCAAAAGGTATAGTTGCTATTGTAATTGTTCTTAATTTTTACATTTGTACTTTAGGTTCTTCACAGTATAGATGATATTTTATTCAGTATTATAATTCTTCAGGGTCTGAGTGACAGTAGAGGGCATATCTGGAGATGTCGTTCTACTCATTTTTATGCTATTGAAATGACAATACCCAGTGAAACTGTAAAGGGCATTACATTTTTACTGAGAACTTTTATATTTAATGCATGCAGAGTTATATAAGAAAATTCATGGAAGCAAAAAGAGCATTGTCATTGCTTTATCTTGTTCCAAATAAAGAATGCTATCAACCAATAGAGATATTAGGAAAGATAGGTAAATTTAATTTCTTTAGTTGTTTATTTCAATTTTACATAGGTGATCTCACTGATTTACGCACACCAATGTATCAACGAGTTTACAAATATTTAAAGCTGTTTGACTCAAAAAAGTTTCAAGAACTTGAAAATTTTCAGTACATTGGCACCCTTGAGGATACTGACAAACAATGTCTAGAAACTATAATAAAGTATTTTTTATTTATTTCATTATATATATTTTTTGTAATAGGCATTGTGGTACACCAAATCCAACATGGAAAGAAATACGCCATTTTGTTTGGTTTTTGAACAATCAGCTCAGTGCTTGTGAACAATCAAATGTAATCAGAACTGTTAAAGGACTTAAAGAATTCACAGTCAAGTTTATGATTGATATGTCACGTGTAAATAGTTTTAATAGCTGATAATTGGTATGTTAATGTCATAATGTTGTAGGACTTTGCAACATCATCGATGCCTACTGGAGAAGGAAATGAAGACATAATTAAACAACACAATCCCAGACAAAATTGGGAACACAAGTATAAATAATTATTATTTACATCAATTGAGATTCTTATTTGTTATTCTAGCCTTCATCCTTACTTATTCTTTAACAAAAGCAGAAAGTCAGTCACACATGTGGGACTGGCACTAAATGGATCAGAAGTTGTCAATGAAAAATCACACTATCAATGCAAATTTTCTATGAAAATATCTCCAGAAGTTGAAAGATTTTTGTCAGTGAAAGTAAATGTTCCACAAATTTTTCAGCAAAAAATAGGGAATGTGTCTGAGAGGTTAGTATAAATGAAATGTTCAATTACAATAATAGCAATGTCAATAGGAGTAGTAATGAAGGTTATATGCTACTAAAGCGTTTAGTGAATTTTATGAACATTCCAATTGAAGATGGGATGGAAATTATTTCTCCAGACGAGAACTATGTTCTCACACAAGATAACCTTACCAAGATCATGGGTATTCAAACTCGATTTAGGTATGTATATACAAAATTTAGGTATTAGCAAGGGCAGATAAGGGGGTTGGTACTAGGAAAATTGTGCAAATAGTAATTTCTTGAGCATAGTTTTTAGTTTATCAGACATAGGAACTAGGAGACTCGATGACCTTATGTAATTCTAGAATTTCTGTTTAACATCTGAGTATAAAATTTTGTAAATTTTGCAGATTTCATGGTTTAGCCAATATAGCAAGCTTAATGAATGGAGTTGCTAGAGCTAAGAAAGCAGATATGTTGCTTAATATAAAGCACTCACACCTTGATCAAGTTGACACCCAAACACTGATCAATTATAAAACATGGCATGCAGTATGATGTTGAGACATATTATGAATAATGCATGAGATGTGATGTCATGAGTTCACTACCATGGGTAATTTCTTACACAAAAGTTAATAACATGGAATTATTCACTGCTCAGGCACATCATGTGTACTTAATGTGTGTGCAGTTGCAGAAATGCAAAATCTAATCTCCTCAAAATTAAAAAATTATTTTCTACAAAAACATGCCTTCAAATTTTGTACCCATGCAGTATATTTGCATGTGTATGTGGCAATGTTCAGGCTATTGTCATTACTACACTCATTATATTTATTTTGTCTTTATAAACAAATAGTAATTAACTGACCAAAAGTTGGTCAGCCCCGTAATTCATACTTTAATCTCTATCCTTTTGAATTAACTTCCACAACACTTCATTGAATTGATCAAAAAAATTTTGTTTTAAAAAAGTCAATTAATAAAAGTTTACTACTTGTGTGCAAGTTTTAAGTTTAAAAAATGTCTTGGACTTCACATCATGTATCAAAGGGTACCATACATGTTTATCAAAAGTTTTATGGGATGTAGGGATTAGCAAAGTGTTAAACTGTCATCAAGAAATAGAAAAAACTATAATGGTACATATGGTACCGTACACATAACGAATGCAATTTAAGTGTAGTTTCAATCCAAATATAACTGTTGCTGTAAGATACTTTTCATTTTTTCAATTTTTTTTGTTTTTTCTACCCACAAATATTAAGCAACAACAAACATTTTGCAATAGAAACTAATAGTTGTAACTTATTTTGCTTGTATTTAATTTCTAGGTGCCAGATTCCAGTTGTATTAATGGGAGAAACAGGTTGTGGTAAGACTCATCTCATTCGCTTTATGTGTAAAGTTGCTGCATATCGAAAAAATATTAAGAATAACATGTTTATAATGAAGGTTATATTTAAGTAGCATGCATAAATTGATTGTATTACAGATTCATGGAGGTACAACAGAAGAAGATGTCATAAAATGTTTAGAAAAGGCTGAGTTTGAAGCATTAAAAACAAATAGAACGAAAAAAGTTGATACTGTAGTATTCTTTGATGAAGCTAACACTAGTGATGTTATCAGTTTAATTAAAGAGATCATGTGTGATGGAAAATGCAGAGGCAAGCCAGTGCCACCTTTTCTTAAGTTCGTAGCAGCTTGCAATCCTTATAGATGGTATATATATTATATTTTATTGTTAATGAACATGTATCCTATTATTATAGCCATTCAGAAGCAATGATAAAACAATTAAAAGGTGCTGGTCTTGGATGGAAAGACAAAGAGCCTTCAAAAGCCACTGAAAAATTGGGTTAGTAATTAATATTGTTGTAAATAGAATTTATAATATCATAGGAGAAATACCATTAAGAGACTTGGTTTATAGAGTACTACAAATTCCTGATAGTTTAAAAGCCCTCGTTTATGATTTTGGAAAATTAGATAGCAACACTGAAAGAGACTATATTTATCAAATTGTTTATAGCAGACTCAGAAAAGTATGGTTTTACATCACTTTTTTATTGTACCTACAGCTAGTGAAATTACAAATCTACTTCTATTGTAGTAAAGCATGGTTGGTAATGATCATAATTTTGACTACCCATACAAATGCCAATTCTACTAATTTGATGCATTTCTACTTTTCATTGCATTTATAATGTCACAATTGTATGCTGGTAGTTCATGGAGCCTCATGCAGCTAAGCTACCTGCAAATATGCTGTCATTCTATCACACTAACATTCAGACTGTTTGTGTATCACTTCTGTTTATGCATATTATCATTAATGTATGTGAGCTACTATAAATATAGTGCACAGTCCATTTACTTTTAAATGAGACTATAATGGTGACCAACAATTAGGCTCACTTTATTGTAAATGTTAATGAAAGGTAATTTCCAAGACACAATTAAAATAATATGTTTTCTGTAGATTAGTGGTGCAAAATTGTATCAGTGACTTTTAAACATATTCAATAATGAAGCTATCATGTAACTAGCTCTTATTTTGTCTTAATATTTTATAGCAACATGCATATATATATATATATATATATCTCATTAATGAGATTCATAGATGAAATATAACATATATAACATGCCGATATGGGTCGATACACCCTCCACCTCGGATACTTTGAATTGATATCACCCTTGGGCCTTTGGCCCTCGGGTGATATCAATTCAAAGTATCCTCGGTCTCGGGATATTGATTCCCATATTGTCATGGTATATATAATATATATATATATATATATATATATAGGAAATAAATGGAAGGGAAATACCTGCCATTGCTACTGTTCTTGCAGAATGTCAAAAATATTTAAAAGAAAATGAGGTATATATTATACATGTGTTATTTTATTATAGTTTGTAATATACTGTTTAGGATGAATGTAGTTTTGTTAGCCTTCGTGATGTAGAGCGTGCAATGATATTCTTTAAGTTTTTTCACAATGAGTTTATTGTTTTATTTCCTGTAAGTTAATTAATTACGTAGTTTTAATGTTCATTCTAGCAATTTTAGGTCCAGAAAAATGAATCACGAATAACTGAGTCTTTATTATTGGCACTTACTGTGTCATACTTTGCTAGACTTGACTCACAAGATGTTGATGGCACTAATGCTAGAACAAAGTTTGAAGATCATATTTGTAAAGTTATATCTAGATCAAATGAGTTAAAGAGATTTTCAGCGTATGACTTTAGATTAATGCTGTCTCAGTAAGCACTGCATGAATGTGTTGACAGTTTTATTGTAATGCCTTTAGGTATCAGAATAAGTTACTTGATTGTATGTCTATTGAAGAAAATATAGCAAGGAATGCAGCATTAAAAGAAAACTTGTTTATGATGTTTGTGTGCATTCAGTTACGTATTCCACTGTTTCTAGTTGGGAAACCTGGTAGCTCAAAATCACTAGCAAAAACCATAATTCAAATTTCAATGAGAGGACAAAATTCTAAGAATGAAAAACTGAAACAATTTAATCATGTATGTATATATTGTTATGTAATAATTAACTTAACTGCTTTAAATTTTAGGTTCATCTTCACTCCTATCAGTGCAGTGAATTATCAACTGCTGACAGCATCAGGGATGTATTTGATGCTGCCGTAAAATATCAAAAAAAGAGAAGGGAAAAAGACAGATCCTTTGTGTCAGTTGTGGTATTGGATGAGGTTGGGTTGGCTGAAGCATCTCCTTTTTTACCATTAAAGTCTTTGCACCCACTTTTAGAGGATGGAACAGAAGGAACTGGTAGTACTGATGAGGTAAGCATTTGGTTGCTTATAGGTTACGCTATAAGTATTTTATCTAGCGTGTAAATAGAGAAGATCGTGTAGCATTCATTGGCATATCCAACTGGGCATTGGATCCAGCTAAAATGAATAGAGGCATTTTAGTCAGGAGAAGTGAGCCAACTATCAAAGATCTTACGGACAGTGCAAAGTTTGTATGATATATATTGCATCAAATTTTAGTTTTATAAAATTTAGAGGAATTTGTTCTGACAAAACAGCAGAGTCAAAACTTAGTAGCTACTTTGACAAACTGGCCCGTGCATATCATGAGATATTTAAAAATCAACCTAGGGAATTTT